CCCAGGAGAAAATTATTAATGATCATGCTGTCTCAAAATGTGATTTGCTTAGTCTTAATTTAGCACGTTTTTTGAATCCGGATTGTGATTTGTAAACCATTATTTTTACCTAAGTTTAATGTATAAATCCAAAGAGCTGCGATTTATTGAATCAGTAATAGCAATCAGGATTTAACATGAAAATGCACAAAAGAATGTTAACATACATTAAAAATACAGATAGCCCTTGCTTTAAGATTATGACCGACCTCTTCAAAGCTACTTATAACCCAGTTCCAGAGTTCCGATTGCTACACACATCGCTCCCCCTGTGTACATGTGATCACATTTTGGGTGCTTGGCAACTGGCTTGCCTATACAACCATTTGCAGTATTCTGTGATCATGTGACTGGTTTTCTGCGATTTTTGCCAGTTTCTGGCATTTGCTTCCAGTTTCTGGCAAAAACACCCATTTAGTAAAATGAGTTTGCTTAACAACTGCAATTTTATGGTAGTAAAATCGGGCAATCATGTGGTGACCTGCTTAACGACCAACATAACTTACAAGGACTAATTGTAGTACAGAATAATTCAGAAAGTTCTACAATAATCACATAATCTTTTCCCCTGTACAGAACTGAGACAGATACCCTTTACCTGTTCAGTACATTCTTCTCCAGGGCGGAGTTCTTTCTAATCCTTTGGTAGGATACCAATAGCAATAGCACTTAGACTTATATACCGCTTCACAGTACTTTACAATCCTCTCTAAGTGGTTTTACAGAGTCAGCCTATTGCCCCCAACAATCTGGGTCTTCATTTTACCAACTTCGGAAGGATGGAAGGCTGAGTCAACCTTGAGCCTGGTGAGATTCGATCTGCCAAATTGCACGCAGCCAGCAGTCAGCAGAAGTAGCCTGCAGTACTGCACTCTTAACCGTTGCGCCACCATGGCTCTTTCATGTCAGATTGGTGTAAAACACTTACTCTCAACTATTGAAATTTTAATCCAAATTCCAGTTAAAATATTGCAGTTCTCCCTCCTCTCTTGGGACAGTAACTACTAGAAGCAACGGTTTCTGGATTTTGACTTAGATATCTTATCATCACAGGTCACTGTCCGTGATGCTTTAAACCAGGCCTTAGATGAGGAAATAGAGAGGGATGAGAAAGTTTTCTTGCTCGGAGAGGAAGTCGCGCAGTATGATGGTGCATACAAGGTAAGATACCTATCAAGGCATTCTAATTATTAGTATAATTATTTAAAAGGATATTATTTGCAGCAATTTGACCTCCTTTTCCAAATCTACAGATTAGCAGAGGACTTTGGAAGAAATATGGAGATAAAAGGATAATAGATACTCCTATATCAGAGGTAGGAATTCAGAAAATATTTTTAATCTTTTTATTTTAGTCCTTGGCTTTAAACAAATTGGCTTGCAAGTTAGTTCATTGATATCTGTAAATCTTATTTCATAAAGTGATAGTTTACGTGTTTGTGAATTCCTTAATTTGCTTGTTTTCCTTTCCTAGATGGGATTTACTGGAATTGCTGTTGGTGCTGCCATGGTATGTATCTCCCATATGTTATGAAGGAAAGTATTTTCAGTAGCTTTAAAGGACACCTTAGTTTTTGTTTACATACCCACCAGATTCATTAAAAGAAACAAGATTTCTAAAGAAACTGTTCTTTAAAAAAGAATAAGCACGACACTTCTGTATTTGAAGGGCTGGCAGTTCCAATTAGATATAGGAAATGAATAGAGGAGTATATGGAAGAAGGGTTAAGCCAGAATAAAGTGTGTGAATTTGTATCTTAATATTAATCCAGTTGGTTTGTTTTACCAGGCCGGCTTGCGACCCGTTTGTGAATTCATGACCTTCAATTTCTCCATGCAAGCTATTGATCAGATTGTAAACTCAGCTGCTAAAACCTACTATATGTCTTCTGGGTTGGTATCCGTCCCTATTGTCTTCAGGGGTCCCAATGGTGCCTCAGCAGGAGTAGGAGCCCAGCATTCACAGTGTTTTGCAGCCTGGTATGGGCATTGCCCTGGATTGAAAGTAGTTAGTCCCTGGAGTGCCGAGGATGCAAGAGGTCTCCTTAAAGCATCAATCAGGGATGATAACCCAGGTAAACAAATCCCCAAAACTGCTATGTAATATGAATACCCTGCCTTCTTATATTTTATCTGCATCAAACCTTTTCTGTACTTTCTTATGAAACCTAAAATACAGGTGAAACTTGAAAAATTAGAATATCGTGCAAAAGTTCATTTATTTCAGTAATGCAACTTAAAAGGTGAAACTAATATATGAGATAGACTCATTACATGAAAAGCAAGATAGTTCAAGCCGTGATGTGTCATAATTGCGATGATTATGGCTTACAGCTCATGAAAACCCCAAATCCACAATCTCAGAAAATTAGAATATTACATGTAATCAATAAAACAAGGATTGTACATAGAACAATATTGGACCTCTGAAAAGTATAAGCCTGCATATGTACTCAGTACTTGGTTTGGGCCCCTTTTGCAACAATTACTGCCTCAGTACGTTGTGGCATGGAAGCTATCAGCCTGTGGCACTGCTGAGGTGTTATGGAAGACCAGGATGCTTCAGTAGCAGCCTTCAGCTCTTCAGCATTGTTCAGTGTCATGTCTCTCATCTTTCTCTTGGCAGTGTCCCATAGATTCTCCATGGGGTTCAGGTCAGGTGTGTTTGCTGGCCAATCAAGCACAGTAATCCCACGGTCATTGAACCAGGTTTTGGTGCTTTTGGCAGTGTGGGCAGGTGCCAAGTCCTGCTGGAAAATGAAGTCAGCATCCCCATAAAGCTCCTCTATGGAAGGAAGCATGAAGTGCTCCAAAATCTCCTGGTAGACGGCTGCGTTGACCCTGGACTTAATGAAGCACAGTGGACCAACACCAGCAGATGACATGGCTCCCCAAATCAATACAGACTGTGGAAACTTCACACTGAACTTTAAGCATCTTGCAGTGTGTGCCTTTCCATTCTTCCTCCACACTCTGGGTCCTTGGTTTCCAAATGAGATGCAAAAGTTGCTCTCATCAAAAAAGAGGACTTTGGACCACTGAGCAACAGACTAGTTCTGTTTTTCTTTAGCCCAGGTAAGACGCTTCTGATGCTGTTTGTTGTTCAGGAGCAGCTTGACAAGAGGAATACGACATTTGAAGCCCATGTCCAGGATCCGTCTGTGTATGGTGGCTCTTGATGCACTGACTCCAGCCTCAGTCCACTCCTTGTGAAAGTCCCCAACACTTTTGAATGGCCTTTTCCTGACAATCCTCTCCAGGCTGCGGTCATCCCTGCTACTTGTGCACCTTTTTCTTCCACACTTTTCCCTTCCACATAACTTTCTATTGATGTGCTTTGATACAGCACTTTGGGAACATCCAACTTCTTTTGCAATTACCTTTTGAGGCTTTCCCTCCTTATGGAGGGTGTCAATGATGGTTTTCTGCACAACTGTCAGGTCAGCAGTCTTTCCCATGATTGTGATTCCTACTGAACCAGACTGAGAGACCATTTAAAGGCCCAGGAACCCTTTGCAGGTGTTATGGCTTAATTAGCTGATTAGAGTGGGACACTTTGTGCCTAGAATATTGAACCTTTTCACAATATTCTAATTTTCTGAGATTGTGGATTTGCGGTTTTCATGAGCTGTAAGCCATAATCATCGCAATTATACCATATCACGGCTTGAACTATCTTGCTTTGCATGTAATGAGTCTATCTCATATATTAGTTTCACCTTTTAAGTTGCATTACTGAAATAAATGAACTTTTGCACAATATTCTAATTTTTCGAGTTTCACCTGTACAGTCCTTGTTTAGCAACCACAATTGGGACCAGAAACTTGACTAAGGGAAACCACAATTGTGCTGTCAATCTTCAGCTGTCCTTTGCTTTACAGACCTGCGTGGATTGGTTGCAAAGTTATTTTTTCATCATTCAGCAAGTCATTCTCTACAAAAGGACTGTCTGTATGAATTGCTGGATTTTTATTAGAAAGCTTCCACCTGTGTATTAGAAATCTCAACATCTTATAATCATTTTCCAGATTCAGGAAGTTTGTCTTGGGCTATCATATGCTTTTGTGAAAGTTTTCAAATCCAGGTGGTTTATAATTGTGTGGACCTAAGCTACTGTACTGCCCAATAAGTGCATTTTTTTCTTATGATACAATTAGAATTTTGAAGATTGGAGGATGGTTGGAAGAGACCTGATGGTTTTCAAAGGCAAACTTTTATGGGTAGAGGGATGAAATATCCGGAAAATCCCCACAAAATACCGTATTTGCCGGCGTATAAGACGACTTTTTTGCCCTGAAAAACATGCCTCCAAGTGGGGGGGTCGTCTTATACGCCGGGAGGACTCCGACTCCCACTTCGAGCTTGAGTTGCAGCCGGGAGGGAGGCTGGGGGGGGAGCTGTGTGTGTGTGTGTGTGTGTGTGGCGGGTGTCACTCGCCACGCGCTGCGCAACCTTTCCCCCTCTTCCTTCCTTAGCGGTGTGGGGAGGAGAGGATTCGAAGATCCTCACGTGCGGCGTACTTTTCTTTTTCTTTTTTTCTTTTTGCACGCAGGTTTTGCATGCGGGCGGCTGTAGGTTAAGGATGGGGGAGCCCCCGGGTGGGTTATCAGGTTTTACGGTGCTTCCAACATGTGCGAACGGTGGGAGAGCGGAGAAGAGAGCCAGCGAGCGCCCCGCTGTGTGAAATCCTGCCGTCAAAGCAACACTGGGGGAGGCAGGGTATAAATTTACCAGGTTAATGTAGCAATGGTGATTAATGCCCAGAACATTGTTTGCGGGTATTGGGGTGTTTGTGTGTGTGTGGTGGTGGTGAGGAGAGGTTGTCCTTTGAATGCGGAAATGTAGGTGTGACCTTGTGTAGGAAAATAAAGAGATCCTTTTTAGCGTGTTTGGCTTCTTTGCCTCCCCTCGTTCGTTTTGACGTGGAGATAATGGCCTTCGGGCGGGAGGGGAAGAAAACGGTAGCTGGATCATTTCAAATTTCACTTACTCTCCTGCCTCACTTCAATATGTCTGAGCGACTCCAGATACTGGAAGACTTTTTGAATGAAAGTGTTACCTCCATATTTTTTTTTAAAGAGGGCCACTTGGGGAAAAAAAAAGATTCTAAGGAATTCCTTGTTTCTTGATTAAAGAGAAGGCATTGAATATACTGTTCCTTGGCAGCCTTTTCAGTGTCCGGGTTTTTGGGTGTGTGTGTGTGTGTGTGAGAGAGAGAGAGAGAGAGAGATCAGCTGTATTGAGAAGAGAACGTTTCCTGTGTTCTCATTTTATTTACAACATATTTTACGCTTAATGGTAAGCAATGAAAAATATTTTTAAAACTCATTTCTAAACTCCATAGCTATTTGCATATTCTTGGTTCAAAATTGGATTAGCTCATTTCAAAATTGTCCAAAGCAGAAAAGTGCGTCAAAAAAAAAAAAGTGCAAAAGTGGAAGGTGTGTGGAAGAGGGGGTAGTCTTATACGGCGAGTATATAACAAACTCTATATTTTGAGTGGAAATGTTGGGGGGTCGTCTTATACGCCCAGTCGTCTTATACGCCGGCAAATACGGTATACCCTTATCAAAGGAACCATTTCAGGAAAGTTGCTATTAACCCTTTGATTTTGGATTTAAGCGAACATTGTCTGAAAGTTTCAGGAGTATTCTGTTCTCCTGAAGGATTAATAACCTGTAAAATCTTTTGCATATGCGATGCATAATTAATTCATTATTTGCATAGATTTAGTTGAAAAACTAGCAATGTTTACTTGGCTATTTTAAAATTAAAACTAAAAATCTAATTTGAATTAAATAACCAAGTTCCACTTGTGATATGTAAGGAGGTGTTTCATGGTAGAGAGGCACAGATCAATTATTTTAGGCTTGAAATATTTAACATGGGAGCTTCTAATACACTCTGATTCCCATTTGACTATTTCTGATATTCGATATTAAAAACATCCTAAGAATCTTGCTTTGCATGAATGCACACAAGCTGCAGAATTTTGACTTTTGGAACTAACATGAACTCTTGGCACTTGGGTTTCATCAGATATTTCTTTGTATTTTAGGTTTCACTCCAAGGTATCAAGCTTGTAAGGTGCAGGCTCTATTGTGTTTTAAGAATATTTCATTGTAAAAGTACTCTGTGATGAGCACAAGAATTTGACTGTGATTAAAGTAGCACTCCTTTTTTATTCCTCATAGTTGTCATGTTGGAAAATGAGTTAATGTACGGCGTGTCCTTTGAGTTGTCTGAGGAAGTACTTTCAAAAGATTTTATCGTTCCTATTGGAAAGGCCAAGATAGAAAAGCAAGGTAAGCAAGCATACTATTTGCATTTAGCCTTCCCAACTTCTCTGGGTGCTCTAGAGCAAGGGTGTCAAACTCAAGGCCCGTGGGGCGGATCCGGCCCATGGGATGCTTAGGTCTGGCACACAGGCCCACCCTGGAATCAGCAAAGAACCGGCCCACAGTGCCTCTGCCAGCAAAAACGGAACTTGGGGAGGCTACGTGAAGCCCATCCGTGCTCTGTTTTTGCTGGCAGAGAACTGCAGGAGACTGTCATGGCCGAAAATGGAGTCTCGATGAGTGACATCACGCTGGCCACTCCCCCCCCCGGGTCAAACACTACCCTGATGTGTCCCTCAATCGGGTTCCCCCTGCTCTGTAGAGTGTTTAAACAATTTGCTTTATTCTGCAAGTATTATTTTTTTTAAAGAGAGATTCTGAAGTAGTTTTTAAAATCAGCCGGGTTTTCTTTTTCTTTCTTTTTTTTAAAGTAGCTTCCTTTCATCATCAAACTTATTGAATTTATATACGGCCTGGCTCCCAAAGCAAAAAGAAAATAGACGGTAGAATTACTAAAGTCAGATAGAAACAGAGAAAAAGAAAAGGGGGGCTTTAAAGGCCTGGGCGAAGAATAGAACAAACTGAATTTGCAAGCTTCCAGAATTCATCCTACCCCTAATGGTCACCCATTATTTCAAGTCTTAAAAGATAACATTATTCCTCGTGTAGAAGTATGTTTACAAACTCATTGAGAATGGAAACAATCCAAAACCTTGGGCATTCATTGATTTTAATTTTTGAGAGGTAGCTTTTGAGGGTGCATGATTAATCCTACGTTGGCTAGCCTTGTCCAATGTATACACTCCTATATTGTTAAGTATGCTTCCCATTGATCCATCATCTGCTTTTTTTTACTTTGGCGATAGAAGTATACATAAACATTCATTGATCTTTTTCAAATTGATTTTTCCCTTTTCATTTCTAGATGGTTCTAAAATATTCACACATATAGAAATTCTTCTAATTTGCTGAGTTAGGAGAATTTCAACTCCTATGTTTGACAGTTCCTGTAGTCCTCAGATTACAACCGTTCATTCAGCAACCATTCAGCGTTACAGTGGTGAAGGGGATTTATGACTAATCCTCAAAATGTTACAGCATCCCTGCAGTCATGTGATCACCATTTGCAATCTTTACTGCCAGCTTCTCATAAGCAAAGTCAATGGGGAAACCAGCAAGTTGCATGTTGCTCTTGCTGCTTTTTTTAAAACCTAGCTACATGCTGTATAGCATCCACCCAAAGTGCCTGGCCACCTGCCCGTAGCTTACAACCACCAGCCCACTTGCCATTCCCGCGGCTTCCTAATTCAATTTTCTCATTTATTTTATTTCACTTATTTTATTCACAAACATTTCACTAAATTACACTATTTTATCCCTCATTTTAATCATACGTTGTTTCCAATTTTCTATTTCTATTACTAATATAACAATACAATCTTATGTACCTTTACAGAATCCTTTTTTCAGTTAGATTTTCACCCATTATCTCTAAATAGGTCCTATTTCTCTATATCTTGCTCCGGTCCTTTGTAACTTCCTTTCCTTTCTTTCTTCCCTGTCTTCTTCTCTCCCCCCTTTTTACCCCCTTGTCTCTCTACCTCTATTTCTCTCTTCTGTATTCCCCTTTTCTGTTGCTTTCCAGTATTATACTTATTTTTCGAATTATTTTTCTTTGGTTGTTTTTTTAAGTCTTAAATTCTCCATTCTCTTTCCCCCCTTTCCTTTTTCTTCCCCACATAGAATTACTTGTTCATTAAAGATGGCTTCTTCTTTGTCCCAGTCTTGTTTTGCAGTCGTTTCTTCTTGTTTCTCATAGTTCCAAATCTCCATTTCTAAGAATTGAAAAACAAAGCCAAAAGAACCCTTCCCTTCTTGTGCATCTTCTTTATACTTTTTCAGTTCCATTTTCAATTCATCCAGAAGTGGTGCCATTGTATAAATGTTTAAACAACCACCCGATTGATTTTAGTCATTCAAATATAATAACCAAGAATCCAAAGATCACCAAATAATCCAAATACAAGCAAGCTGTTTCTTTTTTGCTCTTTTTTTCACTTTCTCTTCCTGTGGTTACTATTTAGTTGCAAAGTTTCAGTTAAAATGTATCTTTTAGAAGTCTTGTTGAAGTTTTACTGTAGATTCTTTTTAATTCCAGGCAGTCTCCTCCCTCTTCCAGATCCTGCCCTTATTCTTTTTCTCTCCCTTCCTGCTTATGAAAAAGAAAAATTTTAATGTCCAGAAATCTTTATTATCCCTTTGGCATTTTTTATTTTCAGCTTAATTGCCTATTGATGTCAAAGCAGATTTTTCCGATTTCTTATTTAAGTCTCTTAGTTGTCAGTATAGGGAAGGAGAGAGAAGGAAAAAAAAGCCAAACCTTTCCCTTTTCACTTTCCTTTGCTGCTTCTGACTCTTCTTTGGGAGCGATGTTGTTTTTTGTAAGTTGAAATTCCAGGGTACCTTGGTTGTTGCTTTTACATTTTAACCCGGTCAGCCAAAGCTTTCACTTCTTATCTTCCTCCTGCACATTCTTTTCCGGTCGAGTTCTTCTTTGTGATGGCCATTTCTGACCACCGCTGCAACCACCTTCGGAAAGGGAGTAATGGCCGGCTGGGGAGGAGAGATGCGGCTCTCCTGAACCCTGCTGGCAGTCTCCCCCCTCTTCACCATCTCTACGGGGTGGCTTAGCCCCCAAACCAGCCGGCTCGGGGCACTCCAGAGGCGAGCCCAGACAGAAACCGCGCATGATCGCGGATTTCTGCCTGTTGCCGAAGCCCTTCAAACCAGAAATCCAATGCCCAGTCAGTTCTTATTGCGCATGCGTGGCATCGCCTGCAGACTGCTTTTGCCCACTCACCAGGCTAGCCATTGCTGCATGCCTTCCGCTGTGGCCCTGCCTGATCTCCCTGGGTGAGTGAGGCTCTGCAAGCTTCGGGGCCCAGATGCCTACCTGCCACTGCCAGTCACCTTTACCTCCCCACCCCACTTGCCTTTTGCTGCCACCACCCGCCGCCCTCACCCCCAGCAGGTAAGGCCCAGCAGCTGCGGTGAATCCAGGCGGGGGGCGAGATGCAGACTGGTGGGGACCAGAGCTACATTTCGCTGTACTGGAAGACATGTGGAGAGGCTCGTGTTCTCCTACAGCTGGGAGAGCAAGAGAGTCTTTCCCGGCACAGCTCCGGGCGGCAGAGAGAAACAGGATTCAAGCTGGCTACTTCTCTGCTGCCCAGAGCCACCCGTTTCCCTATTGGAGGGGAAGTTGCAAACTTTTCACTGTGCTGGGAAAGTTTCTCTTGCTTTCCCAGCAGCAGGAGAACATGAGCCTCTCCACATGGGATTAGCTGGGATTCATGCAGCTGCTGAACCCTGCCGGCGGTGAGGCAGAGGTGTGGGGGAGGGAGA